TTTTAAATCATTAATCTTATCCTCACGTTCGGACATCCAGGCTCTATTTACGTGTGACGACCAGAAACAATTTTCTGACCAATCAGAAACATCAAAGTCATAAAAGGTTTCTAGTGCTGGTTAGCAAAAGTTAAGACCCTTTCACTGTTATGTTTTCTTTGTTTATTTTTTAAGGCAGTGATTTCCCCTTCATTTTTTCCGTCAGCTGCATGTCTCTGGGTCTACTAGGATGTCTTATACTGTAATATGTTATTATTCACTTTTATTTGTACGTTTATAATGTTGTACAGTTGAGGCTTGCAATAGTAAAATTTGCAATTTGTTCACAAAGTACTTGAGAAACTCGTCTTCGAATGGGAAAAAGAAAAATCGTAAAATTTCACCAAAAGGTTTAAGGGGCGGGCACTTTCATATCAAAAGGATTATCCTAAGTTTGTGTACACGTAGGGTATTTTGACAGCCCACTGGAATTGAGAACCGTACTGATACGAGCTTTTCGTCGGAACAAATGAAACTATCAGCACGAGAAGATAAAATTCGTATCCCCAAGCGGCCATGTAATGTTCTGTTTATTTCATAGATACTGATAAAATTCCTACATAAAACACAACTTGATCGAGCTCATCTGCGGAGAAGAGAGTGTCGACACGAAAGGCAATCCGGGGTGTGAACTAAGCCTTAATCAATAAACCAATGAGAAAAAAAAAGTCTGGGCTGTTACACAGGGTCCGGAGGAGTTCAGTTTGTCGTGAAAACTTCGAAAACTCCAATAAGGGACGGACCATTAGAAAATTTATGAGGGGTGGAGGGGCGGGCGAAGAACAAAAAAAATATTCGCGCAAGGGAAAATTAAATGAAAAAACATTCATGCACGCCAATTAATCCTAAAAAATATTCATGCTACGGCCTAAAAAAATTCATGCGGCTCGAGAATTCCCCCTTCCCCCATAACTTTTCTAATGGTCCGTCCCTAAGAACGGGAAGCTCTCTTGTAATTGGCTAATCATGTTAGTAACCATGGCGACACCAATATCCTCACACGTGAAAGATAAAAAAAGTATCTTCACTGCGCGCGATGAAGATATGATTTTTTAGTAAAAGGACAAAACCTAGTATTTCATCAGTATCTATATAATAAAGTGACTTATCCACTGGATAGCGCTATCCATCTTTCGAACAACCGGGCCCAGGCGTCTTGTTTCTCTGAGTTGAGCTAACGTGTGCGTAAAAATCGCCGCGTGCCAGGAGATACGATCGACACGGAGGAAAGAGAAAAAATGAGGAACGACAGACAAAGCCACGTGAGAAACTAAAAGTGTAAACAATTAATCAAACCGAATTGCTTTTAAATTAGGAAATAGTAACCCTACAATCAAAACTGCCCATAAAAAAAGTATACAGTTTTAGTGATACTCCTCGAACATCGTATAAATCAAGTAAATAACAACTGAATAGACCTTTTTTCGTTTCCTTTCGGCATCAGAATCTGTAGGAAGTTGGGACTTTCCGAAGCGCAAGATTTTTTGGCATCGTGTAGGATGAGGCAACAGTGTTTAGTGTTCAACTAAACCGGAAGTGCTAAACACAAAAAGAAAACAACTATTTTTATATAATTTATTCTAGGTAAAATATAGAAAAGATGAACAAGAGAGGGTAACCTTTCATTCTTTCTTATCATGACACGACAGTTCTGTGGTAATCATCTTGAAGCACTTAGCTATACTATGTACCCACTATTTTAAAATCGAGGCCTGTTTAAGCTTTGGAGATCACAAAGTATTTCCGTTTACATTTTTTCGGTTGCTCTTTTTTTTCCAAATTTGCTTAATTAGTATAGGTAATACCATGATTAGTAGTAATATTTGGCATAAAAACCACGAGTGATATTTCAAAATGTTATAGTACGTAATTTCACGAGCCGTTAGGAGAGTGAAATTTTTGAGACAATTTTGAAATATCATTAGTTGTGTTATTGCCAAATATCACTTACAAATCATCTATTGTTTGTTTATAATACTACCCGCAAAAGGTTTGTAATTTTCATATGTAGATATTTCAAATTAAGCTGAAATACCACTACTCTAAGCCAATCAAATTGCAGAAATTTCGCATGTATACTATATACCGTATTCAGATGCTACTACCAATACAAATGATAAAAAGAAGATGTTCAAAAAAGAGGCGAGATGCGGAGGAAGGGTGGCGAGAGAAAGTAGGGAACTAAGTCAACTACAGTCAAAGCTGTCCGAGAAATCAAACGGACAAATTTTGGGAATTAAACTCATCCAGTAGAAATTACCAAAATTTTGTACAAAAAAAATCAAATCGAATTGCTTTTAATGAAAAGAACCCTATAAAGGCCAAATAGACCATAAGAAAAATAAAAGCAAATACATTTTTGCGATACTCCCCGAACACCGCATACGTTAAATCATGCAAGTGTTTACGATGTCTACGTGTAGTTTTGGATTGAAATTCTTAGCTATGCTTCCTTTCAGCATCAGAAAGTTTGTTGGAGTTGAAAACTTTTCAAAAACTTGGATTGTTTTGGCATCGAGTAGAAGGAAGCTACTGACAAGAGAGGATAACCTTTCTTCCTTTCTTGCCATAAGACGACAGTTGAAGGGGTAAAATCGCCTTGAAGCACTTAGCTATCACGAGTCTATTTAGGTGTTGCCGAGTGGACAGCGACCAGCCCTTTTTCTGTACAATTTCGTATGTTAAACTGCTACATGAGAAATTTCTACAATTTGATTGGCTTAGAGCAGTGGTATTTCAGCTTAATTCGAAAAACCTACATGTGAAAATTACAAACCTTTAGTGCGTTGTTGCATAAACAAATAATAGCAATGATTTGTACGTGATATTTGGCACAAATACCACCCGTGATATTTCAAAATTGTTTCAAAATTCACTCGCCTAACGGCGTGTGAAATTACGTATAACAATTTCGAAATACCACTCGCGATATTTATGCCATTATCATCACTAATCATGCTATTACCTATACTAATTCTGAGTGTTAAAAAAAAAGAGATGGTATCTATAGCCAGCAAGTGTCGTGGTCGCCCCTTTCTGAACTTTCTGGATCCGCCCCTTGTAAGTTTCTTTAGCCGCCCCTGTACTATTTTAAACCTGACAGCACCAGTGTTTCAGCTTTGCCAAAAACATCTTCCTCTGCTTTCCGTCACTTCTGCCAACGCCTTAACACTGAAAAGGAACTTTTCAGCCACACCTTACATTTTCCACTTGTTTTATTACAGAAAGGTCAGAAACACAAATAAACAGCAGAAACATGATAAAACTTGTAGAGATATAGAAAATGAACGATCGTGGAAATAATCTTGGGTAAATCAGGTACATACACTGGTTGTCATGTCTCGTACGCTTGGATCGAAATTTCTTAATAAACTAACCTGTTTTTTGTTTTCTATTCATATCAAAATTGGTCGCTGGTAAAATTATTTTCTTCAGGACACATTTAGAAAACATGAGCAGGAGACAGAGGATACTGCTTAATTTGTTCTTAGTCTGGGACGACAATTTGGTAAGCGTTTTGATGCACCTGCTGATAAGTCTTTCCGAAAAAGGAAAAATTGCTATTATTTCTTACTCGTTACCTGTTAGCTTTGACAAAAAAAGGTTAGAATAATTTTAATATTCATTTGTTTTCGCTGGCTTCCGCAGACACCTTCGAACTGAAAAGGAAATGTTCCGCCTTAGCGACTTATTTTACTACTGAAAGCTCAGAAAGCAACTTTGAAATGAAAAAACAAACAAACAAAAGACTAAAGGAAAGGAGAAAATAAGAGAAATGAATGACTCCTCCTTAATCTAAAGATAGGTGCTTGTCATTTTTGAGACTTTTAAGCTGTTTCCACCATTGCAATTTTTAACTTAGTTTGTAACTTAAGGTACAGATTAAAATCGAAACTTTTTATCTCGTGTCAGTGAACTAATTCCGCCGCTCAGAAATTTGGCTCGTTAGCTATGCATGTCAGAAACACACGAAGAATTTAGAATTAAAATTCGTTGTCTTTCGGAAGATCAAGTAAATATAAACCCTACAGATCTTGACTGTTTAGACATTTGGGCCATCTAATTTGTATCAGAAGAACGTGGTGGATCTAAGGTGAGTTCTTCATTCCCTTTGACTCAGTACCTGATAGTTTCGAAGTAAGTTATACATTTCCTAATAAACAAATAAATGAAGAGGAAGTAAACATTATTTGAAAGTTGCGTTTGCAGTGTTAAATAGTATAAGGTTGATAAACGACATATATGAAAAAACTCTCGGTGTATTTCTCAGACAGTCGAAGTGGCAGTTATTCCCTTTGTTCACCAGTTTATTACGTTCACATGCAACAGGACATAACTGCAACAGGCAGCCGTTTTCAAGCAAACAAAAACCTTTTGAAAATAACAAAATAGTAATATGTTTCCTCATTATATGATTTATCACGTCAAGCGTAAACACTAAAAACAGTATAATGTTAAAAAAAGAGAGGTAAGAAAGGTTAACTCCAGGATTTAATTGCAAGGCTTGGGCTATTCGAGAAAAGTGGCTAATTAAATTTAATCAGGTTCGAATATAAGCCCAGTTAAAATTCAAGATGTCATAATGCTTGATTGCCATTGAAATGACTTCAAAGGTACCCAGCAGTGCCACATCTTACAACATTGACTTTAACTTATAGAGCGGTTTTCACTTGACTGTCGAAAGGGATTGGTTTTGGTTTTGGTTTTACTACGCCCTTTGGTTGGCTAGTGTATTTACTTTGCTTTTGGTTTTACGACAGTCAAGTGAAAACCGCTCTAGCAGCGTATCACAGGTTTATCGGGTGACGGCATAATCTTTTCAAAGTAATTAGAACACAGTAAAATTCTAGAGTGGGCTGTCTGTTGGTTAGTTGGTTAATTTGATGCTTCATTATTTCCTTAATTTTTCATTTTTTTTGTTCGTTTTTTTTTTCAGCTACAAATACGTCATCCACGATAAAATGTCAGAAAAGCCGCACGTCTGCCTTAGCTTTCTAATAATCATCATCTTTGCATCCGCGATAACTGCCATACAGTTACCGTATGAGGTTTATGAGTCGATAATGGAACTCAGCGATCTTGATGACTACAAAAAGCTTATTACTCAAGTTAATGTGTCCAATGAGCTAGGCCCCACTCGTCCAATTTATCGACTGGACCTTGACCCAGAATACGTAGCGTATTACGAAATTGACACCGGGAACAACTACGTAATATTCTCTTCTGGGCCTAAAACCGGAGATTATCGAGACGTACAAAGTGGACCTGATCCACGACCAAGCGACATACTCATTCAACAGGCTCAAAAAATCGGTCAGAGGTGTGAGAAATTTTACCGCCTATCACCATTTGGACTAACAATTTGTAAAAATGGCAATGGAACAGTCGTCGCGGCGAACTACAACTGGACAGCTGATTTTGCCGAGGTAGGATGATAATCGATCGTAACTATATCTAAAAAATTTTGACCATGGCAGGACTAGCTCAGTCGGTACTCTTGAATGCAAAGCGGGAGGTCGCGGGTTCGATTCCCAGGGCCGGACCATTACTCGGGGTGGAATAACTAAAAGAGAAAGAAAGGTAGTGTCATTGTCAGCAAGTGACTGGGATGACCATGTAAAATGGAGGTCTTTTACGTCCTCCTTAATTAATTGACACTCATATAAAATGCGTTTTTCAGAATTTGCTTGATTATAAATTGTTTTGTTTCGTTATGCGTTACGTTATGTAAGAAGACAGTGACTGTTACACTAATAACTTTCTGTGTATAGTGTCAGGGTCGCTAGAAAATGAAATGGTACAAATTGGTCTGCCTCTAAGAGTTTGAAGTTCAAGAGGGAAACAAAACGGCCGCTCTGATTGATCAAAATCTTCAGAAAGTTACATTTTTAAGAGAGAATGGATGCTATTCGGAGGCTACCGTGATCCACACATTTTTTAAAATGAACTAAACGTGCTCTTAGTCGGCATGTCCAGCCTTTTAATAGCGACAGATAAACGCGACTATTTTTATCAAAATTAATTATTAATTAACTCCGAGTTACTATCCAGACAAGTGATCCGTCTTTCTATGAAAAACAGATTGGAGACTGGCGACTGCTGGATCAGATGGTGAGAGACAGCGCCGATAGCTTTAAAAGTAAGTGGCACGAGAGAGCAGCACAAAGACGGTCTAAAACAGAGTGGGCCACCACAGAGGTTTTTTTCAACGGTAATGCAATCAACATGAATGAAACTGACGAGGAGGTCCTTACACCTGGCTCCGTGGCAAAAGTCGCACTCGGTGAGCAGTTCAGATCAGTTAACGTGTACGTTACCAACGGTGATAACTGGTGTATGAGTCCTAGCTCAAGATCAGCGTGGCACCAGAAACTCTGCAAAGTGCTCGTTGAAGTTTGTCAGCTGGACGGGACGGGCGTACCAAGATAAATCCATCATCTATAAAGGAGACACCCAATCATCTTTTATACCTGCAGTTGAAGATCCATGGCAATCGCACCTTCGTGGGAAACACGTTACATTGGCGCGAAATTGGATTTGCGATCGAAATCAAAGGACTCGGTGATAAAATAGTTAAAAAGTATTTTGCCATCAACTTGCATTCCAAACGAGTTCGGCGTAGTGGGTACATAAGCCGAGAAGCAGTTGTAAGGGCGTACTACAGTACAAGTGATGTGGACACACTTTTAAAGGAATACAGCATACCCGGGGAAAGTGATTTCCCTGACTATGAACAACACAGTTGCTGTGGAGGTTGCCAGAGTGGCTGCGGCCCAGTCGCTTGGGCCCTAGTTTTTGGATACTACGATAGAATCGGAGCCAGTTATTACTGGCCGTTTAGTCCACTCATATACGCTGGGGGAAAGGCACCGCTAAAGACAATGACAGCAGGAGTAGAAAAATTCGTGGAGGACATTCGAGGGCGGGTTGAAACCTACTGTGAAAACGGCCAAGGTTTCACTTGGAGTGGAAAGATGCATTTTATTGAGTCATGGTTTCGCGACCGTCAAGGTTACAGGGCAAGAGTCGTCAATTATCTCGAAAATCGCAAAAGAAAAGGAACCAGCGGTAACAGAGTTCACAAAGGCAGCGGATCCTGGATCGAGGTCAAAACCTTCCAATGGCTTCAGAAGAACTATCCTGTCATACTAGGCTTTGAGACAGATTCTTCAGGCCATTATGCCGTGGCTACAAAATTCCGCATATATATGAAAGCTAGACGATCACGTTGCTCTCACGCTTCTTTTCGATGCTCAATTCGCGATATGGTCTACTTCAAGTTCTTTCTACATTATGGATGGGCAGGTGAAAGAAATGACTGGATGGACGTCACTCCTTTCAGTGCCCACGTTGCCTATCTGAAATAATTTTACACTGCAACGGAGCCCACTAATGACATTGACGTCTTTCAGGTATTTGTATTTCTTGATGTATGCTGACACTAGTTTCAAAAAGTTACCTTTTAGTTAAAAACTGGTAGACACAAAATAAGCGAATCTACAGCAAAAGTGGATTTTAGACTGTTTTTGTTGTTGTTGTTGTTGGGGAAAGCATCTCTTGTTTGACCCTTTATAGCCCGCGAGCAAGCTCTCCAACTACCTTAAGCGAGCGAACAAGCGAGCGTGGCGAAGCCGCGAGGGGCGGAGGAAAAGGAGAGCTAATGCAATGATCTCTTATAAAGTTTCAATTCCTCTTCGACCAGACGAAGCGAAATACCACTGAAATTTTGATTGATGACATTCGTTGCCGTCATAAATTTAGAAGCACGAGGCTTACGGAAATCAAGATGATCACTATTTTTTTCCTTTTACTCTTTTCCTCTCTTTTCCCGCCCCTCGCGCTCGCGACTTCTATCGCGTGCGGTACTCGCGTGAATTCTCGCGAGCCTGCTCGCAGGCTCTACCCTTAACTTCATCGGTCACTACAGCTGTGAATGAGCAGATAAGTCATGAAAATTTGTTATGATCAGAGTTACCTTGACATCGAAGTTGACATAGCAACGCAATGACCTCATTACCTTTCCAATATTTAGCGTTTTCCTTAATTTTCTTTTTCCTAAATAGTAAAGCGTCATCGAGCTATTATTTTTTGAGATAAACGTTTTCACGTTTAGAGAGAGCGAAGTGCTTCGGAAATGCAATTTCATTGCAAAGTAGTCTCATTCTATCTCACTGAAAACGAGTGATATCGGCCGATTGCGAGAAAAAAGTTTTTGATTGATTAGCACTTGACGCGTCGAGAGGTGCGCTATTGGCGTGTTTGTGAATAGTGGCATCTCAACTAATACATATGAAGAGCTCGATGTTTTGGCTTTTTACTTGACATTCTACCATGAAATTGAGTAATCTTAATTTTCAATGGACAAAAATCTTGTACCAGCAGAATTTAAAACATATTGCATTCTTTTTTCATTTTTCAATACTTAAAGATGTAATAAATCATCTGTAATAACACCAAAGAAAATTTCTTATGGGAGCCCGAGAANCAATATTTAGCGTTTTCCTTAATTTTCTTTTTCCTAAATAGTAAAGCGTCATCGAGCTATTATTTTTTGAGATAAACGTTTTCACGTTTAGAGAGAGCGAAGTGCTTCGGAAATGCAATTTCATTGCAAAGTAGTCTCATTCTATCTCACTGAAAACGAGTGATATCGGCCGATTGCGAGAAAAAAGTTTTTGATTGATTAGCACTTGACGCGTCGAGAGGTGCGCTATTGGCGTGTTTGTGAATAGTGGCATCTCAACTAATACATATGAAGAGCTCGATGTTTTGGCTTTTTACTTGACATTCTACCATGAAATTGAGTAATCTTAATTTTCAATGGACAAAAATCTTGTACCAGCAGAATTTAAAACATATTGCATTCTTTTTTCATTTTTCAATACTTAAAGATGTAATAAATCATCTGTAATAACACCAAAGAAAATTTCTTATGGGAGCCCGAGAAAATAAATGTCAACTTTCACAAAATTACATCTTTCACATGAAATTAACAGAGATTTACCTGTGTTTTCACACTTCTTGTGAAACTTTGAAATTCATGGACTCCCATAAGAAATGTTCTTTGGTGTTATTACAGATGACGAATTACGTCTTTAGGCCTTAAAAATGTAAAAAAGAATGCAATATTCTTTAAATTATTTTGGTGCAAAGTTTTTTGTCCGTCTTAATAATTGCTTTATAAGGCCTTTACTGAGTTACGTTTCAACGTCATTTTTGTAGCAATTTTTTTGTTTACCTACTTTTGAGTATCTCTCATTGTTCATTGGTACTGTCCCTTGGTTTCAAATTCAAAAGAACAACAGTTGCGTTTTCTTGAATATATTATTAGTTAACGAGCTTTTTAAAAACGAATCGTTTTCAAATAGAATGAATCTACCACGAGGTAGAATTGCATTTGGAAATCAAAGCTCTTCGTTTTCTGTGGATTCAGTTAAGAGGCAGGATGGCCGAGCAGTCGGCCAGGGTGGTGCGTCGATTTTGAACATAGGAACATCTAACCTAATGGAGCTAACCCGGTGCTAGTGCTGGTCGATCGCATGTAGAATAGGTTTTTCAGTCTTTGCAAAATTTTATCACTCAGGTTGTGCTTCCACGAACTCTTGCACTGACTGTTTATCTCCCATGTCAAAAGTTTGCAAATTGTTTACTTTTTCTTAGATAATTCGATCTACTGTAATAGTTAGAGTTCAATCTTAGACTAATAGATGTTTGACTAGTTTAAAGCTAAGTTTCGTTGCTGTCAAATATAGTCTCAGTAAATAGGTGTGAAAAGTCCAGCAAAGAATTTAATGTCTTACTTTGTATTCTGGAACGGGCTTATTGCGTTTTTTTTTTATTTTTTACTTCAGTTAATCTTTTATAATTTGCACCTCTAAAAGTAGTTATATTTCGGGTTCTTTATTCTGTAACATTAGAATTTTTGTAAAGTTTATGCTGCACTTGGACATTTGTTGCGGACGGGATGTAGCTTAGATTAGCTAGTTTTGCCTTAGGCGGATGGGCAGTTACTGTGAAGTCTATGTTTACGTAACTGTTTGACTCCTCTCTTCGTAGTACGCGTGTCTAAACCGCACTCCTTGGCTAGTGGTTGTAGACCCTTCAGCAATATATACCTTTGCTACTGAAATGTCCAGGGATAGCTTAAACTATAGAGAGTTGAAATCAAACTTTGAACTGTAAAGAATTTAAGCTAAGAACAAGGAATAAACGAAGAAGATATAGAGAAGAAGATTGTCTTGTACGATAGGACTGGCTAGTGCCCGTTAAGTCCCTATCTGACATTGGCTACGCAACCCAGGTTGTATTCTTTGTTGTTTGCCCGCGTTTCAGGCCGTTTTGAAGCGTTTTCGGCGAGTTAGCGCTATTTTGGTGTTCTAAGAGAAAGTCTGTCTCTTAAAGGACGAAAGTAACAGCGACATTTAACGCAAAATTTTGTACTGGTTTGTTTGGCGAGATTTAGGGACAATATTTCCTAAAAGTATGTTCTATTCCTGGCCTGTTATCAAAAAGTGGGAAACAGCTGAACTGTAAAATGGAATCTAAGGTCAAGATTAATAAAAAACGCTGTGGCTATATGGCNAGGTTGTATTCTTTGTTGTTTGCCCGCGTTTCAGGCCGTTTTGAAGCGTTTTCGGCGAGTTAGCGCTATTTTGGTGTTCTAAGAGAAAGTCTGTCTCTTAAAGGACGAAAGTAACAGCGACATTTAACGCAAAATTTTGTACTGGTTTGTTTGGCGAGATTTAGGGACAATATTTCCTAAAAGTATGTTCTATTCCTGGCCTGTTATCAAAAAGTGGGAAACAGCTGAACTGTAAAATGGAATCTAAGGTCAAGATTAATAAAAAACGCTGTGGCTATATGGCCGGTAACCGGTCAAGGTTTTCAAAACACTAAGGGCGCGATCCATTCAACCAAAATTCCAACCGGTCCGACCGGGAAAAGTGAGGCGCGATCCATTCAACCACAATTTCCGGAAATTTCGGTCTAAAACTCAATGGATCGGTTTGATTCAACCGGAAAAGTTTCGGTTTTGTATAAATCCATTGGTAACTTGGTGGCAGGTCATTTATTAGTTTTATTGAGAAGAAACTTACTTCTTTCGGAAGAGTTGACCTGTTTTTCACTGTGGTTTTTTTTTAATCTTTTTTATTCAATAACGCCGTTTACACAAATATACATGAGAGATAACAGGTGTGGAAAGCTACATCACCGTTTTTGTCATCCATGACTGAATTGGGCAATATTATGCAATTTCTAGCACTGCTACACAATACATGCTAATTACATTGTCCATGCACCGAAATATCAATGTGGAGCTAGGCGACAAAAATCGTCGATATAATGTAAAATAGAGTCAATAATTATAATAGAAAATTACTTCGGCCTGCAGCCTCAGCTGCCTGCATTTACCCAATAACGCCTTGGGCTTCAGTAATTATCTATTTCTGAGTCATGGCCAACGATTACAAGGTACACTCTTATAGTCAACTCATCGTAAAAGACTTGGATAAAGCTTACTTTTTGCCTTATCTCCGATCTTCCTATTGCAAAGGATCCAGGCTTTATAACGACAACAAGTACATGTATTTCGACCACGCTCTGAGAGACACAAAAGAGTCGGATTTAATGCGACCTATCAGACATCTGGCAACGATTGGTGACGCCATTCCAAGCCTGTCAGACATCAAGCCTGATGCTCTCCAATCGAATCACTGGAAAAAGTGGTTGCCAGTTTTTCCAGCCGCAAAAGTTAAATCTGTCGAAGATGGCTTCGCAGACGATATCCCAGTCGTAACCACTGGGCCGCTGCAGTCTCTGCCAGCCATGAAGCATGTCATCGATCCTGATTTGCATAATGAGTTGCTTCTTAAAAGTACGATCCCAAGAATTGGAGTACCCAACCCTCGACTCATGAAGGAAGAAAACGTCACATTTCCCTGCATGCTCAAAGTCGATCAGTCCGGTGGTGGATGCGGAAACTGGTTGGTTCGCAATTCACATCAGCTGAAAGAGGTGGTGGCAGAAATTAGAAACAAGTGCAACTGGAAAGGAAAGTACATTTTGCAAGAATACATACCAGATGCTGTGACCATGGGATATTACTTCTACGTGTTCAAATCAGGCGACATCCATTGGCTTGGCAGCTTGACCGGGGCTGATTCAAACTATTTCAATTGGACTGCTGCAGTGGGTGACTGGACCAGGCAAGAGGAGTTGAAGGAAGCGGTTTACGAAGAATTTATCTTGCCCGTCAAAAACTTCCTCCATTCTTCTGGGTACTTTGGGATAGTCAACATTGAGATTCTGGAGAAGAACGGAGAGCGTTATCTGGTAGATCTCAATTGCAGGCTTCCAGGGGCTTTGG